GTTAGTAATTAAGACAAGATAGGTCAGATACGTGGGTCAAATATGAAATAGCGTGCAATAAAGTGGCACGTGTTAATCACCATGTTAGCTCATGGGATTAGCCGAGGACATTTCGTCTACCGCTCAAGCCTTTACTCAACATGCATTTCGAAGAACAGGATCTTGTCCTCTATGCTTATCGATCGTGAAGCTAACGAGGATTTCGGTCTTAAGGCACTATTCCTGCAGCCTGCACGTCTACGCATCGTTTACGCCTAGTGTAATCATCACTGGGTTAGTTGAGCTCTGCTTGCCAGTCGTTCCAGGGCCTAGGATAGAAGACGAAACGCGTCAGATGGACTAGAACGGAGATAAACGACCCCCTCATCATCTCTAGTCCACGCGACGCTGTTGCTTAGAAGTAAAACAAGTTTTTTTATCCGTCTATCTCGTCCTCTATGTCAATCGATCTTCTAGCCAACGAGATTAGGGGTCGGAGGTGCGTAGATCTCTGGAAGAACAACCGCGAGAAAAAGGGCTGTAGATCGAGGAAATAGATGTTTGCACGCGGTTCCAACATCATCGCCTTGCAGTTTTTCAGATCTAGTATTTCGACATAACCGTTATGGAATCTTGCGACCATCGAAGCAGAATGAAATATCACTGTGTTTGTCTCGTAAACTCTCGCGGACTTCACAACTTCTGGCTGATGCGAAGGCCTCCGAGACGGTCTGGCCGGTCATGATAAGCTGAGCAGTCCGGTCCTGGTCTTCCTCGGTTCCAAGATGACAGGAGCGCCATCAGCAAAGGTCGATAAGGCCCTCAATCAGCCTCTGCATCCCTAAGGCAGATTTGGATCCCCGCTACGCAAACGCGATTGTCTAAAAATAGCGTAGGGTGAATACATCTAGATTCGTAGTAGTTTGACAATAGACCGACCGATTGACAGGCGAAGCGACGGCTCCGTAGTTCAGCGCAGCGGACTAAGGGCAAAATAGCCTCATCTCGTGCGTAATGATGGGATACAAGGTGAAACGGGGCCGGGCGAGCGAAAGCAGCGCATATGCGCTCGAGGGATTACAAGTCGCGCCAGGGACAACGAGGGTGGCGGAGCTCGGTGATCCGGATCAATAGCAAAAATGCCTCACCTGCAGAGTACAGAGGGAAACGAGGAGAAAGGAAAAGCGGGCGGGCGAAATATAGCGAAGAGTTAAGGGGCGATGGCAGGGATTATATAGAACCACGCACGGGAACGCACAGTAACCGGTGGCGCTAAACCATAATTGATATGACTAAACCGGAAGCAGCCTTTAACCAAGTAGTCCGATATGGTATAAGTCATAACGGAAAGACCACGATTGTGCGTGGTTTTGCGGGGTAGAATCGTGGCGTTTCTGTATAGTGTAAGTATGTACCTAGACTTCGGCAGAACCCATTTTAGGTCGGAACCTCTAACCCAAAACCTAATAGGTTAAACCCAATAACCCAATAATAACGTATTTGAACCTATTTTTACCTAATGGGTTTTGGGTTATCACTAATAACCCAAAACCCATCGTTGGGTCGAAGTAATGGACCCAAACCCCATTTTGGGTTGGGTTAGAGTGGGTTGTGCCGAAGTCTATACGTACCTAGTAGCATAGTATGATATACATAGTGCGCTTGCCCGGTGTACATTAGCGTTAGATTCAACATTCTAACGAACAGCTCAATTCATAGTGTCGCGGCTCTATCACACATTTAAAACCTAGTAGTTAGGTTAGGTACTGTTAGGCACTGCTAACTGGTCACAGCTATGTCAGAAGTGCTCTAGGTTATACTTGCCTCATGCTTCTCTTGCCCCCAACGTCAATGATCTGTTCTCTCAACCATACTGTTGCCTAACAGGTCTTACTGCAGGATGGGTCATTTGGAGGTATCGAGGAACGATGCCAGATAGAGCGCCGAGTAGATCTATACCGAGCTATTAGTCTGCTCGTGAGTGTTATTAATGGTCACCACATGGCGTAGTCTGAAATCGTAAAGTCGTGGCATTTCCACTGCCATCATAGCCAACTACCTATATAAATAGTATGTCAGCATTGACAATACTAATTTGGGACTTAGTGTTAGTGGGCGATAATCAAGCATTCACCATGATGTCGGTTTATGGCCATGCGGTGCGGCAGTCGTCAGGTTGTCAGGTTGTCAGGTTGTCAGGTTTTTTTCCTAGTAGGACTCCAGGAGATACTAATAAGCTCGGAGCTACTAGGAAAAAACACCTGACAACCTGACGAGGTTTTTAGCTGTAATTTATCATTCCCACCTCCGACTGGTAACTACTACCCCCTACTAACTTCTTACTATAACCCACTAGGAGCAACTGGTAAAATACCACCTGACAACCTGACGGCCCCCCTATTCGGTTAAACTCATCTGAGAATCACCATTTCAACTGTGCGTGGCCTAGATAGCCTACTTCTCCCATAGTATTAATCTATCACTCTTAAACACATATCCGTATTCAGTGAATCCACCTTCCCACATGTTCCGACGGCAACAATTCTACTAAAACGGCCAGGCGCTGTTATTCTCTAGGGTCATTGGATAGTCGGTAAACTGGGACCGCCAATTCAGCTCCGCATTTCTCGCATGTGGCCGCCGTCGAGACATTGTTGAAATCGCACTTTGAACGGCTCATCTGATTATTGAGCGTGGGACTGAAAGAAAGAATGGGTTTCGGTTGGAAATATGTATTGATTATCTAATAATGGTGATTGGTGAGCTCGGTCAATGTAAGTTTGATCTCTGTGATGTACTTACCCAAAGACAAAAGTGGGAGAACTTACAGGAAATGCAAGTTGTAAAAGGATGCGATGATATGAGTTCGACGGTTGAGTAAGTGATGGTGGGGTCCACGGGTGATAGATAGGCGGGGCACGTCGACGAGGTCCGTGATTTTAGGCTGACAGATACGTTGGCCCCAAACTGTTAAGCAGATAACTGACCTTACAGAAATACCTTCCATACTGCCAGTCCAGAACCTAGTTCCCTAATCATCCAATCTATCTTTGATTAACCCACTATTCCCCCCTCGTGACTACGACCTTACATCTCGAATTCGGTTGTGGGACTTCGGGAAGTCTTCCTCAGCCGTGAACGTTTAGGACGGCACCATCCATAGTAGTGCAATCCTCAGGTCTTTCGGAAACTCCGTCAACAACCAGTGTCGACGTTCGCCGTTCAAGGAAGACATATTTTCCCCTTTATCTTTTAGCAGCGAGTGTAATTCACCAGCAGCAGTAACTTCTAGTCTCGCACGCTCCATCATGACAGACCCTTTAAGTGTTGCGGCTAGCATTACTGCTCTTCTTGGCTTGACTACTTCATTGGTGAAATACATCAATGATACAGTAAATGCATCGGACGATAAAAAAAAGTTATCAGCCGAGATACGCGATACCACCGTTGTCCTTGCAACGCTGCAAGAGCTAGTTCAACCTCATGCCCAAGAAGATCTGCTTCCCGCGGCTGGGCCTTGAAGCTCTCGCCAGAATTATGGCTAGCCTTGAAAAGGCGCTAGTGCCTCTGAGGGCAAGGTTGAACAGTGATAGGAGATCGAAAATAAAAGGGGGGTTAGCTTGGCCCTTTCACGAAAAGGAAGTGCGCGAGACCCTTGCGGCAGTTGAGCGACATAAGATGTCACTTAGCCTTACCTTACAAGATATTCAACTGTGGGCTCACGAATCCCTTCCCTTGATAAGACCCTAACGTTGATTATACAGGAGGACGTCTCGAGCAATCACGGAGAGAATCAAGAGTTTGCAGATCGGTATTGATCATTTAGGTATCGCAAAAACCGGTCGGTCAAGTCTAACTACCATACATTTCTCTAATAGAACGCTAGTTCTAACATACGCAGAATTACAATTTGATGAAGCCTTGCAGTTGCTTTCCGCACCTGACCCGTCGACTAATCATAGAACGGCATGTGAACTATATGAGCCGACTACCTGCTCGTGGCTCGTGGACTCAGAACGCTTCAACCGCTGGCTCAACTCGCCTTCTATTGTCTTACTTTCTGGAATCCCCGGGTGCGGTAAAACTGTCCTCTGTTCTGCAGCAATCGAACGCGTAAAACCTCACGTGATCAGAAAATCGGGCGTTGGGCTTGCGTATTTTTATTTTTATTTTTGTCGAAAGCTATGTTACAATACATGACTAGGAACCTAAGTATTCAACACCTCGGAAAATACATGGACCGCTATAATAGTGGGCCCTATACAGATTGCATATTAAGCTTAGTCAGTTATGCCCTAGCAAATTATCAAATAGGGGATTCTTGTCATTTTAGTTAGTTAGAGTCATACACATCTGTCATTTTGAACATACATTGCTGTACCGGTGATTTCCGACAATTTTCAAGAGGAGCAAAAGCAAAGCGTGGAAGGACTTCTGCTTTCGGTCATCGTTCAGTTGGTGTATCAACAAGAGAAGCTCCCTATTCAGTTCAGGTCGCTTTGTGACGATTTCAAAGAGCACCGGGGCAGGTTGCGTGGAGAGAAATTGTTGAAAGTTCTTCATGCAACTACCGAACAATTTCGCCGAGTGTATCTTATCATAGATGCATTAGACGAATGTGGCGAACGGCAAGGGATCATAAGCTTGATCTCTAATCTTGTTCGCTCTCACGCAGGATATAGTATACTGGTCACAAGTCGTGACACTACGGAGATCAGTCGTTCCGCTTTAGGGCAGGTTTCAAAGAATGTGATCTACATGTCTCTCGATGATGTGAATATGGACATACGGACCTATGTGGTCAACTCTCTATCGAGGGATCCCATGTTGCGAGAGCGGCCAAATCATGTTAAAGCAGAAATAGAGGCCGCATTGACTTCAGGTTCTCATGGAATGTAAGTTTGATTTATCTCTCCTGCTAAGCTATCTCTCATGGTGTTAGGTTTCGTTGGGTGGAATGCCAACTGCAGCATCTGAGATCCTGTCTCACCCTCAGAAGTGTTAGAGAAACTTTGCGATTGATGCCAAAAACGTTGGCGAAGACTTACGATATGATACTGGCGAGTATAGATACGCAATACCAGAAACAAGCATACGAGGTGCTTCAGTGGTTGGCCTTTGTTGTGCGACCTCTCCGATTAGCTGAAATTGCAGAGACACTGATTATCAAGCCTGGTGTCCTAGCTCTGTCTGAGGAAGACAGGCTGTTTTCTGAATTGGATATTCTTACCATTTGCTCGAGTCTTATTCGGATATCTAACGGTGAAGTGCAGCTTGCACACTACTCTGTTAAAGAGTATTTGATGTCTAGTCGGCTCAAATCAACGGCTTTGTCCTCCTTCCATATTGCGGAGCTACCGGCAAATCAATACCTGGCTCATGCATGCGTAACTTATCTACTCCTGTTAAATCAGCCTGAATGTCTTTCGCTGGAATCATTTACAAAGCTCCCCCTTCTCGTCTACGCTGCGACACATTGGCAAGACCACGCAAAAAATGCTTTCCAGGCAGGCTACCGGGAAGAGTCAACGAAAAATTTCCTTAATGACATCTTGCGGCTCATGGATCAGAGTCAAGGTCCAGCTTATCTTAACTGGCTCCGGGTCTCCGATCCGGACGATTGGAATCGGCGCGATCTATCAAAAAGAGAGCAAGATGTCCCCAAAAGCCTCTATTACGCGTCTCTCCTTGGCCTATACATTGTCACAGAAGCACTCATAAACCGAGGAGTTGATGTCAATGCACGAGGTGGACTCTTTGGCAACGCGCTCCAGGCAGCCGCGTTCAAAAATCACCACCGAATTGTCTATTTACTCTTACAGAACGGCGCTGAGATTAAGCTCAATGAGGGCCTTCATTATTCGGCCCTGAATGCAGCCGCCGTGAACGGAGGTGAAGCTAGCTTCCGTATTCTGTTGGATTTAGGCTTCGCAGGAAGATGCAATGACTCTAAGATTGTTGGCAGTAGCCTGGTTGCGGCGGCCGCCTCGGGGAAAGTGGAAATTGTGACGTTACTTTTGGACCATGGCGCAGACGTCAATTTCCGAGGAAATGATTCAGTGGCCCTCAACAGTATCCTTGCTGGCAGTTCAATAGCTGCTGCCTCATTTCAAGGCCACAAGGATGTTGTACAGCTATTGATAGCTTGGGGGGCGGACGTCAATGCGAAGGGGGGCCGCTACGGTAATCCATTGCAAACTGCATCACGGGCAGGTTTCGATTCCATTGTGGAGCTTTTGATGGATTATGGTGCTGATGTTAACGCCCAAGGGGGCGTTTATAAAACAGCGCTACAAGCTGCCTCGGCCGGCGGCCATCAAAGCACAGTCAGACTGCTCCTGGAGAAAGGAGCGAATGACACGCGCTAGTACTTACCAATCCAGCCAAAAAAAATTGATTTATCAGATAGCATAAAATGATGCTGTATCTTTGGTTTGTATGAAGGTTACACTCGAGTATATTGGTGGATGAGAGCCTTAGAATTCGTAAGTCTGAAAAATCAAACATATTAAGCCTAATTTAGGTGGTCGATTGGCATGACCCCTGCAACTGCAAGTTTACTAGTGTCTCTCCCCGTTGCTGGTAGTGGCGAGTATTGCGATAAAATCTCTCCATCTGCAAAGCTCAGTGAGCTTTGATCAGACTCGTGGAGTCTCCTACGGCAGTCATCGTCCAACTTTGCAGTGTGATATCAATCGAAAGTTTATCAGTCATCCCCTAGGTCGAGCTATTGAAGCGCAGTAGCAATCCGGTGTTGCCACTGGAAACAACATAGCTTCTGATTCTGTACTTACCGGTGTCAAGCCGTACGAATTGCTCGATTCACGTCACCACCAAGCAAGTCAAGACCTATTACCTGGACAATAATAATGGACAGGGACAGTAGTTCGGGATATCGTGGGGATATCGTGAACTCGGAATATGTCCAGAAGTAATTTGAGCGAACTATCGATGAGGAGGAGAATATATGTGTCGTGGTTGGCTACCACGCTATATTGGATGCTCGAATTGCCGAGCAATCGAGGGAACAGAAGCTTTTGGGTTGAAAGCTGGTTATTCCACTTTCAAGTGTGTTGGCGGCATTAAGAGTTGTTATGCCATTTGGTGAATTAGTTGATCATAGATTGGCCGGGTCTAGTGGGCGCACGGATGACTTGCAACGACAGTTTGTGGCCCAAAGCAAGTAAACTATCGCGGTACAATATCGCAAGGTCCGTTTTCAGTTTCTGTCAAGCAAAAGCGTTAACAAAGCAACTCTAGTCAAAAAGGCCAGATAGGAGATATGACCGCCCTCGTTACCTTCAAAGCGATATGGAAGACATGATAGAGGTCACGCTGGATGATGATCTGTCACTCGAAGGTGACCGTGACATGTATATAGCAGGATCGGGGGAAAACATCTTTTCGAATATTAGTGTTGACTTAGGATAGTGACCTCGGTCTTAAAAACGCCTATTTCTAGCATGCTATATATCGTTACTTCTCGACGTATCTAGTACAAATGGTAGCGGAGTGTGAAAGCCTTCAAGTTTGTTATCGTCAGTGCGGAGTCGATCACCTCGGTATACGCCGTAACAAGCGCAACCTACACCAGCAGAATAAAACTTACTTTATCTGTTTATCTCATTCTCTATATAAACCAATCATGACACCAGTGAGGATTTCTAGCACAAGGCGCCCTTGATCGGGGCTACGCAGTTCTCAAACATACGGGCGACCACGTCCCCGAGATCATCCCAAAATGATACTGCTATTCCTAGAGAACTGTGTATCTGCGTATCATCTGCACCCAGTGTCACTATCACTGATGTGAATCGGCTCTGCTCGCCAGTCATTCTATGGTTCGAGACAGAACACCAAGCGCGTAAAACCGGACCACGCCCCCTTCATCTCCAGTCTGCATAATAGGTTCCTTGTCCTTCTATCCCATCCTCTAGGCTAATCACCAATAGAACCAACCGATATAATCCCAGGGCGACTCAATAAGATAGGCGGAGAGGCGTAGATACCTAGAAGTTATTGCGCGATACACTGGTGTAAATCAAGAGGAGAGGATGTTTATATATAGCTAGGGCCGCCGCCTCGCCGTTTTGTAGATCCTAAGGCTATCCTAGGCCTCGATAAAACCGCTGTGAACTATTACAGTTATTATAGAAAGAAACTTTCCCTTAATCACTTAACTACGCTGACTGAGCAGAGCCGGCTGACGCAAATCACAGCTAAGATAGTCTGATCAGTCTATTAAATTGATCCGACCTGGTTATCTTCGGTTCTAGATTGGGAGCGCTATCGGCTAGGGTTGACTGTGCTCTCGCCCGAGTGTATAGGCCTAGAGGCAGATTTGCAGTCCCGCTACATAGGGATGATTATCCTAAAAGAGTGTAAGGCAAATGCGCCTATATACGTAGAGGCCAAATATAGGCCGGCTGATTGAAATCCGGTGGTGCTATGGTCGGGGCTGAGGAGGAAAACAGAGGGAGGGCAGCTCGGATTACAGCCGCGGGGCCGCAGAGGAGCCGACGAGTCATACGGGGAAAAGTGGGTGGCGGTGCCTAGGAGCTCGGTGATCCGGGCCAATGGCAAATGCTTCACCTGCGAGGCGTAGGAGAAAGGAAGGCGAAAAAGAAAATCAGAGTTGTTGGATGGAGGGGACTTTAACCAGGCACGGGTGCACACAAAGCCAAAAGTGTTAAATTAAAAGCAGACTACATCCAATATCCGATATGGTGTAATCCAGGGGGACAGCGGAAAGACCATGGTTTTGCGTGGTATTTGGGGGGATAATCGTGGTGATTCCGTACAGGCGGTCTTATAGATGTAATTAGGGCTAGTGCCATAGTACCAACTGGGTTTAGCGTGTGATTGTTGCTGCATGTCTATTATAAGCCTGGCGGCTTTATCATAGGCGATAATTAATTGATTGCCAAATTTGGACTTTCACTACGCATTGATTTTTATTAATATTTTGGCTGGCAGTGGTTAAGTAATCGTACACTCCCCCACTACCTAGATCTCTGGTAGAACCTGACTTTATTTGAAATGTGAATTTAAATTCGATATTTCTACAAGATCTGTGTAGGTGTATCCTGGCCAGGGGTCGGAAACTATTATAAGCCTAAATATGCGAAATTGTGGAGCGAAAACCCAGTCATTTGCTTGGAAAAGACTGGTATACTTACACGCCTTCGCTAAATTTGAAGCTGTACGGCTATATGAAACCTTAAAACTTAAACAAAACCTTAGCCTTAAAGGTAAGAGGGGCTCGGATTAGTCCTAAGGTTCTCGGAGAAAAGAAAAGTATAAAACAACAGAGGAACGCCGTCGCCTCGGTATCACCTCAGCATACCAAGCCAGCCACCCCACCCGGCGGCGGAGTTGCCAAGCCCTCTTTCATTCCGTGGGCGGCGTTGCGCGCCAAGGTACTGAGGTTCGCCAATTTTGCGGAGCGCAGCCTCTTCTTTTTCTCCTTCTTCTTCTTCTTCTTCTTCTTCTTCTTCTTCTTGGGTGTGGTGGAGGGCGCGGGGGTCTCGGGAGTCTCCGGGGTCATACGAGGCATACGCGATCGAGGTTTCTGGAGTTGCGGAGGTCCACATTCGATCCCAAATAGTCCCAGATTTCCGTTGCCGCCGCCCACACATTCCTTGCCACCTCGCATGAAACCCATACATGGTCCAGGGAGAGGTCTGTTTGTCCCATGTTGTGTGGTTCCCATCGTGAAAGAAAATGTCCGTATTTACCTAGGTAGTCACCTGGGCACTTTGTCGTGCTGACTAAGCAAGAACAGGTTCTTCGGGAGGTTTCCCCGTCTAGCAGCCCCATACCCAGCAGCCCATGCTGATTAATCACGTCCAGATTGGGAAATAGAGGCAGATTAGTCAAATGCTGCGAAATCGACTGATTGGGTACAGTGCTGGGTATGGTGCTGAGTATGGTGCTGGGTATGCTAGATATGCTGGGTATAGTGGGTGACCCCATGGTCCTTCATTCTTCAGACAGGACTCGTATTCTTGGGGAGAAACGGTTCCGACTATCTGTATCAAAGCCGACTCAACGTTTGCGGCTTGGTAGCCGATCCTCTCATCCAGTCTTTTACCCGTACTATGGTTCGTGGAACGTTGCATGGGCTCGTGGCGAGAGTCTGCGTTCAGCAGGACTTTGATAGCGTCGGTTTTAATAAATTGCCATGTCCTGCCACCTTCCAGGGAAGCCGCTTTGTGTATGTTGCCCATGGGCTAGGCGCCAGGAAGTCTCCTCCGGCATCGGTACTCGGGACCCTTAGCGGGGCGCCGATAGAGTGGTGTCCGGTCTCTTCAGCAGGGGAACTTGTATCATATTAGTCATTGAACAGTATATCGAGGGTGATCTGGAGGGATACTCACTATGAATTATCCTCAGGTGCTAATGCCTAATCGCGATGGGTTGGGTTTTGAGTCAGGGGCGGCGTTGATGTCGACATGCTTGTGGGAGGACAGCCAAAGACGGGAATCAATGGTGCTTGGAGGAGGATAGCCGAAGATTGGGGATCAACGGTGATGGTGATCATACGATGAGGAGTTCATGAAGACGGAATCAACGGTCAATGTATGAAAGGCTGGAGATAAAGTGGTGAAGGATGCCGGGAAATAGGAGGGGCAGATAGGAAATGTGAAGGAAGTTCTGAAATGATTTAGGTTGCTGAGGTTTTACTCCTCTACACATATAACACCTTTCTTCACCATCTCCCCTCGCGTCTAGTCCCTCAGCCAGACCGCAAAGAATCTCTTTCGCTACTACGGAAAGGAAGCCAACTGGAGCCATCGCCCAGCACATACCCGGCCTCATTAGTCGGAGATGACGAGGACCAGCCTACATGTTGGGCGCGAACTGCGCTCCAGCACCTACGGACTCGTGGGAGACGTGTTCGTCAACAACCGGGGACCCTGCTCCATACACTCCAGAACCTCATACCTTGCCGTGAACCCGGTTTACGCAGTATACTTTAAGAGAAGCTATATTGTTGATCATTCCAGAATGGTGTACATACAAAGTATTGAAGCTATTCCCGACCCACAAAGATCCACATCCCCACATTCTTAAGCGTTGACTTTGCTCCATCGCAATCAGAGCAACCAGTCCATCATGTTTGACCCTCGCCAACTGCCTGAAACGCCTTTCTCTACCCTTGGAAGCTTTTTCAACTTCTGATTTCAGATCATGGCGGCGAAGATAGTAAACATGACGTTGGGCATCGCGGTGATGGGCACAACGATCTGAGGGTCAGATTCAGGAACGGCGACGGCGATTTAGGTAGAATGGAGTCTAACTTTGTGAGATTGAGGCCGAAATGAGTTTGCGGGCGAAAAGAGGGAAGAGAAATAGAATAACTACATTGTATAATGGTAATTCTTTTTCCTCTGCCGGCAAATATTTAGGCGCCAAGGCACCAATCAGGCCGGAATCAGGCCAAAACGAGCTAGACGCTATGCATGCCCCCCTATACCCCTTCGTAGTGAGTGTCGGAAGTCTGAGAAAGCAGGCCCACTATTATGTTTGTTGTGTTTGTTTATTATCCAGCAAGTAATTACGCCTATATATGAATTGCCAGGAATAGGTAATAAAAACCAGAGTCTTCGACATCACCTAATTGGCCAGTAGCAAGTCGTGTTTCACAGTGAGGTGTTGCCTCAGGCACCATAGTGTATCACGGTGGAAACCAATGACCACCAAATGACCATTTGGCCCACAAAGTCCATCTCCCTTCATTTCTTTCAGAACTTTCCCTTCTTTTCCTCTTCTGTTCTCTCAGAACTCTCTTCCCTTTTTATCCTCGCAACCTTCAAGATGACTGATATCTCTCAGATTTTCAAAGGCACTCAGATCGCCCTTCCTGGATCCACAGCTCTCCGGCTGAACGCGAGTACATGGGTGATCGACGAGAAGCTTTATGAGAATAGAGTCGATGGAGTGCGTGAGCCTACTTCTGATCCCGACGAACAACCATCCGGTTGGGAGGCTAAGTATCTATGTCACAATCACCATTTCCCATATAATCAAGCCTTTATGAGAGTCTACTGTCAAGGTCCTGATGAGGAAACAGAATTCCTTCTGCCGGAAGTTCGAGCCCAGCAGGCAAATCCTTATTTTGAAAAGCAGGAAGCTAAAGCTCGGAAGAAGTTCAGACAAGGTGGATGCAAAAGTGTACCTTCACTACTTGGATATGGCCAATCCGTGCAAGGGGAACACGGACCTGTACCTGGAGGATACATAACCTATCTTGTTTGGGATAAGGTCCGCGGACAGGTCCTTACTCCGGAGCTATTCTGGTCATTCGAGCGACCAAAACGTGATCTCGTTCGCCGAAAGTTCCGGGCTGCATATGAGTAAGTGCGGAGTTAAGTCCTTGGGATCATGCTAACGCAAAATCAGGGAAATGTCGTCCTTTGGCTGGGGTCCAGGAGGGGAGAATATCACAAAGATTATATGGGACAAAGAATCCGCCGATCTATGGATCTCGGGGTTTCGCGGTTCGTATCCAACTGACGAAAAGTGGGAGGATTGCATTCTGGCTTATTACCGCTTGATCAAACCACCCGCGTCCGGCGTTTGTGAGAACCTTGATGAATGGGAGTGGTGATACAGGTTTTTATTGGTGACAGGGAGAACACCCAGGTGCCGCTTCAGTGGTCCTCGAAGGTAAACTCCCCTCTTTTGTTGAGGTGTGAGTAGAGTATCTCTCATGACGAGCTCCTTATTGGAGTAACTCCTCTCTTTTGAAGGTGCGAGTAATAGTCTAGTGTCTTCCAATATTCTGCTTCGTGATCAATCCAGTTCTTAACGATCTCCCTAATTTATGTTCCCGCGTATTCAAAATTCACTTGATACTCCTCCAGTAAACTGCTTTATTCTCAGATATCTTCATTTTCTGCCAGCAGAAGATCAAGCAAATTCAGGCATCTTCAGGCACTAAATTAGTCATTGATCCCAGGGCCGCTCTGAACCTTCGTAGTCGGCCAAGAATATCTGTGTTTGGAAGAGAGTTTGCAGATCATTCAAACTGTATACATATAACTATATTTGAAGCTTGTATCAAAACTATGGCCGTCATCCGACTTCGCCACCCCGTAAAGACAATTGGAGCACACTCAGGGAGTTACAAGGGTGAGTTGACGACTCCCTAAGTTCACGACTACTCCAGATAACTAGTCAATTACGTTGAAAGCAACCAGGAAATTTGAGTAGGTTGACAAGATTCATTAGAGACTGAATAAAGTGCTAAGTTAAGGCCTCTAGACATTTGATCACACATTCGACAAAGGAAAGGGATCCACTCGCATAAGGAGTTTTGTCTTCAGAGATGCCCGCACCTCTCTACATTGGTAGGAGAGGGGAGCTTACTCGCAGCTCCATAAATAAAGCGGAGTTTTCTCGTGTCCTATCATATTGATTCCACCCAGCTTTTTGGAGGTAGTTGGTTATCAACCTTACCTTGTTGACGCGCCAGGATCGCAATGTAGAAAAAGCATTCTCTCACGGTCACCGTCGGAGATCCTTTGGTGTAGACATTGGAGGCCAGAATCACTGGGGAGCAATCCACGACCCATGTCGTACCGTTATGTCGTTGTCGGAGGAAGATAGTTTCTTCATAATTCGAGAGAAAGCCATACATACACCCCAACTCTTTCATATATCTAAGAACCTGGCCCACTAAGACTCGAAAATAAGACTTTTGGCGGAAGGGCCTCAATTCTAGGTGATCCTTGATACGGTGATGGATAACCCACGGCACCTTCAACTCACCCACAAGCTTCAACTCATTTCTTGATGTCTTCATAACACAATCAGGAACTTTGTTCCCTAAATTAGGAAGACATTTGAAATCGGCAAACTGGATATCAAGCCTTTGAGCTTCAAACACCTTTCCAAGTCTTTGACCAATCGCCTGTTGAAACCTTCCCTGCACACCTGTCTCATCTCCGACAAAAACCTTATTATCATCAAGATCGTGGGTATTCAGGGTGTATCCGATAACCCTGTTGCTCCAATGTTGGTTATCCATTGTTGCTCGTACATCTTGACAGAAGTTTGGCCAATAATTCAATTCGCCGTTGTAAATAAGCCGGTGTACGGCATTGGCATTCGTGTGGAAATCTGTCTTCAGTAGAGGAGGCAGAGCCTCGTTGACGGTCTCACGCACGCGGATCTGCTTACCCATGATGTAGGTGAATGCTGTTGATGGTAATTTTGGAAGTGCGAAGAGTGAGATGAAAGTGTGGGAAAGATGAGATGGAGGCGAGAAAACGCTGGTTAGGAAGGCAGGAGGGCTCTCCTCGTGCTTCAGTCCTCGCATTTTCAGATTTCAGGCTTTCAATCTCTCCGACGAACCAACCAGTGAGTCAACTTGTTTGATGAAGACATTTCCTCTCCATACTGCATAAGTATACTCAGCACCGAATTCAGGGATAACCGATTCGTTCACCTAACCGATATTGGGGCCAGCCACAAATCCACTCGTTTCCTGCGACCCCCTGCCCAAGTCTACGCACTTCAACTCGAAAACAAACAGCACTGACGCTCACTTGTCCCCGAAAGAGACCGCATTCCTCAATGCACTCATAAACTGACAGAATGAACATCGTTTCAGAAATTGTGAAAGCGTATCCAATGGCAAATCCACGGCGTTGTTTGTGAGATCCTCCAATGACTATTCCTACCAGGCAATATTCCTACCAGGCAATTGATCTCCCGAAGCTTTCTTCTGATCTATCTAGTGAGGGATAGGCGTGCGGTTGCCAGGCGCCAGTTTCCAGGAGCTCGATGACGCAGTCTACGTGAACTTAATGGTGCCCTAATCATAAACTGGACTTGTCCCAGATCCACAATCGATACTTCGTACTAATGCCTCGCCCCACGGTACGCATGTACCGAGAAGGCCGCGTATAATAACCGACTGGTCATTATATCGAATTTGCATTGAAGATCAATGGAAAAAAAGAAACCGGAAATTGCACCGAAGATGGAAGTTTCAATTCCCGTGTCAGGAACTACGATATGCGAAAGGATATCAAGATACTGAATAGATTCTGATCATTGTAAAAGTAGAAGAAGCTACAGGATCTGGAGATATGCACTAATAAAGGATGATCCATCCGAACATCCCGATACATCTACTGAGAGGGACTCTTCGTCATCTCCTCTGCCTCGGAGTCGAGATACATGTATGTTGATGTCGAATCTAGCATCAAGGCCGTCTGCGATAGAGAGAGCAGCAGTCGGCTCCTCATTGACCTGCTCTGCGCTCCCCTCTTGGAGTCGCAGGCGCGACAGCTCGGCATTCTCCTGCTGGAGGCGAGCAATGGTCTCCTGCTGCTGGGAAAATGCAGCCTCCAGCCGTTCCAGCCGGCCGGGGTGGTCTGCATTGGCCCTTGGCAACAGGGCCCCTCGTCCTCTTCCTCTTCCTCCTCCCCACCCACTGCCCCGCCCTCCTCGGTTCTGGCCTCCGCCACGGCCCCGGCCCCAGGCCAAATTGGTGGTCGTGGAGCCCACTCCCGCGACCCCACCGAAAACCGACCCCTATTTCCATCAGTCACTATGAGTCTTCTGGGTTTAAATTTGTCAAAGAACGGCTTCTTACAGCGATGTTGATGACTGGGGCTCCTTGCCCGGCATTGGCGCTGCCTTGGGCATGTCGCCAGTGGTCGTGGGTGCGGTGACCGCGCACACCGCACACACCGCAGTCGACATTTTGGACTAACATACCGAGTTAGTAACTTTTCAGTATCAAGGGCTCCCAATATTGAAGATCCTCACTGTCGATTGGTAATTTGGGGTAAAACAAAGTAAGGTGAACGAAGCTAACTCAAGGAACTACCTACGAAGATAGATATATATATTTCTACTTATAAGCCGAATAGATTGAAGCTTGGGAGCTGAATAGGAAATTACTTATTCAGACAGTATATAATCATTCAATTAGCCTATAGATTAATTTGAATGGCTACAGAATCCCAGGCTATTAATTATAATGCGCTATTATTGATAAATTTCAATCTACTATAATATAGCTAATAGGTGATAGCCCTACAACCTTAGAAGGCAATCCCTTAGGTATGAACAACAATCATTACAATGGGATACCTAACACATTTCGATCTACAAATCTCTTTGTATTCCATTGCCCTCGACAAATCGATTCCTATAGACCTAGGTATCAATGAAAGCTCATCACAATGCAGAGCTCTATAGATTGTTAAGATTGCTTGGAAAATTTCCTGTTTCTAAAAGGTTTTGGATCATTCGCTCGCGCCTGAGCGAGTTTCTCGGGTTATTCTGAATGACTTGTCACGATCTGCATGTTATGCATGCATTACGCTCTCTTATTCTTTCCTTTGTCACATGCTTGTTCGCTTGCTTTGTTTGCAACCTTTACATTCGTTTGCTTTCTTTCCTTTGTTCTACAGATTGCTACTATGCCTAATCGGGTAATAGCTACTAAGCCTAATTAGGAAAGAGGGATGTCTGATTGATTGATTGTTTGCTAGCATGGGGGAGCGCTCTACTGTTTAAACCCCATGCTCTGCCAACTCTCTCTTTCCTTTTCTCTCTCTCTCTCTATCTCCTTACTAGCTTTGTTATTCTCGTTGGAATGCACTCTTTCTTCATTGATCGACCTGGCACGTAACATAACTAGTATAACCTAGATGAAATCTATAGACCTCAGCATACCTCCAAGACTATTTAAGCAGGCTCACTAGTAAATCGGTGAAAAATTCCATTTGACCTATTAACTAACAACAATAGCAATTGTCCTTTTGAGGGCGTTGTCAGTCCATTCTTTACCTCAGACACATTATACATATACATTCATTGTGAGGACTGCTATCTAGCAGGTCCGAGCAGAATTGAGAGAAGACTCGGGCTCAAAACCCGAGAGAAGAAAGGATCAGAGAATCGGAGACTGGAACGCGTCTACCTAGCCTGATCACTAACAACACTGGCGCGGACGAGAGAAGAGAGAAGAGAAGTGAACTGAGAGCGGGGGAAGAAGCAGAGAAGCAGCCAGGTTTGGATGCCTGAGACACCCACCCATGCTTCGAACAAGAATACCGTTGAATAAGAGTGAAGGGGCGAGATAGGTCCTGGTTGCTATGCAAGCTAATCGCTAAGGTGCTAATGCTACGATCTGCACACGGACAAAGAGCGCTAAACTAAAAGGGTCGAGATAAACCTAACAGAGTAATTCGCAGTCCCCCTCCGATATAGTGTAAACGGAGGTAACGGTGAAATGACCATGGTTTGGCGTGACGTTTAACCGGCAAATCGTGGTGTTTTCACCTAGGCATATTGTCGTACGTCTTAGCCGCTACTGCACCGTTTCTTAGATGATTATTTTCAGCTCTCTAAACGGCTTGAAAGCTCACTCGTGAAAAGGTCCAATAAAGCCCTCGGAGCGCTGTTGCGGAATCTTCAAGATGCTGATGTCAACTTGAAAGAGTTCGGTGAGGGGGAAGAGTTAATACTGAAAGACCAAGGGGGGTGTATCGATTTTCGCATTCTCGGTGGATCGAGGTCCTTTGTTATTCGAATTATTGGATTCTCACACGGCCCAACACCGGAGGACTGGTGTCTATGGATTAGTGAGCCCTCTGATGAATTTGCGGGAGACTTTTGGGCAATGATTGAGCGACGGATGGAGGTGCCAGGTGGATGGTCGGACGATGTACACTTTTCTTTTTGATATTACTGCTATCTTGCGATTTCATAACATCTCAGATTGCTCCACAATACTACGCAGGATGGTTGCCGAATCAAACCAAATCTACACATTTAGGGACCTTGATTTTTCCGCCTACCTACAACTCTAGATGTCAAACCTCCGACAGGACTGCATGTAGGTGAGATCTGTCTTCCACTAGTCGCCCTATCCAACGCAATTTGTAAGTTAGAGGCTATTATATGAATGATATGCTCGCTCGCCCTCATAGGCCAATGAGTCAATGACCATACTATAACTAGCCGTTGCTATATTAAAGCGATCCAAGCTTGCGCTAGACTAGCGCGCAGTGATGATCTACCAGGTCAACTAGGCTTTGAGCTTTAATGTTTGGGAATGCACGGGAACTTTGCCCAGGTGATGCAGGTCGGGGCAGCGAGAAAATAAAGAATCATACAAAAAGTATAGATTCTCCCGAGGTCTTGATCTCAATACAAATACTACTAGTATGTATATAACGGAAAACAAGAAAGGTCTCATTAACAGCCATGTATGAAATATTATTCAGCGTGTGCTATCTCCAGGGCTCCAGCCATGGAGGGCTCCACCTGGGCAAGGCTAGGGAAAATCGTTCTGTTTTCCAGTGCTTCCCTTCCCTCGATTATTTCAGCTACGTGGTGAGACTAGAGCTCCGCAAAGCCCAACCAGCAGTGGGCTGTGGGCCTAACCTTCGAAGCCCAACCCAACCCACAGCCCATCAATGGGGGCCCATAAGACCCCCATTAAAGCCCATTAAAAGGAGTTCAACCGGCATCTTGTAATCGGTATACCATATTGTACTCTGACCCTTTTACTAGTCATATAAGATTCAAATTTAGTGTTCATAATAACAGTAGCTATATAAGTATACTTTTTAAATTTAAAGATAATCCGACTGGTTAAGGTCGAGATACTATAAAAAAGGTTGTTTTACTACCTGATATATATTTAGGATCTAGATAGGAGTACTACTACTTTCTAAGTGAACTTCTGTAATTTATATAAATTATCTAAAGAACGCGTTTTATCGCGTTTTTAAACGTGATTTAGAGAGATAACTAGTAATTGATTCTAAACTATCTAAACTAATAAAATATTACCTTTATAATAAAGCCTATAAACGGGGGTAAAACGAAGGGTAACTTTAAAAAACCCGAAACGTAGTTAAATTTTGAATTCTTGGCATATTTGTACTATTTTGGGCTTATTTGGGGGCCCATTAACCCGCAGTGGGCTTCTCCTTAGGCCTATAGCCCACCGGTGGGCCCGAAGGTAGGGCCCAAAGCCCAGCCCATTTGCGGGTTGGGTTGGGCTGGGCTATGGGCTTTATGGGCTTTGCGGAGCTCTAGGTGAGACTCTCAACCCAACCTTGGAATGGCGTCGCAAAATGCTCAACTTCCGGGGTTCTCGCTGCCCCTGAACTTTGCTCCACGGCGGATGTTTCCTTCCGCACTTCAGTACGAGGACTTGGACATGGATATCGGTCGCATCAATGTACATCAGGATGTCGTGATGATGCGAATCATCAATGCATTCACGGAAATGCCAGACTGGCACTCCAAGGTACGTAAGGGTGATTTGTTTTAATGACTGCGGGAAAATGCAAGCTCACTCCACTCTTGGTAGATATACGAGTCCGACGATGGGGCTCTGAAGGAACTGCTGCGGCAAACCGCGGGCGGCGAAGATGTCACCCCCAAAATGACAAGCTGGATCATCAAGGAACTCCAGTGGAAAGCTGAGAATTTACTGAAGACCGGATACACATTTTTCCTGGATCCAGGCGTGTTCAAGTCGGATTCTATGATAACAGCCTCTACCACAAAGGCCCTGAAAGAGGCGTCTCGCTCGCTGGGGCCAGCCAGAGGTAACAGCCCACCCGAAAGCAAGAAAATGATCTTCAACCCTGTGGAACCTTCAATATGTCCTGTTATCTATGGACGTACTCTTACTCTTCCAGACCAGACAATCGGCGTTGACGATTGCGTGGATAAGGGGCAAGGAGTCCTTCTTCCAATCCCACTAGAGGAACAAGCATACGACCAATTAGATAACCAAACATTTGACCCAGCATATGACCAAGCATTTTATACATCCTGGCTGGGACGTTCAAAAAAGGTGAAACCATTCAGTCGAAGATTTCAATGGCTGCCATGCGACGTGGCGCTAGGTGAAGACGAAACATGCCACATTACTTCTTACATCAACAATATTCCCCCCTGGGAGAACCGGGGCCTTTATGAAACTATCTAGGATGTTCTCACTCGGACGTTACCACTTTAGAACTCAACACTAACACATGTACAAAACAAGTGGGCGAGAATCCAGTGCAATGAAGTCCAATTTCTCGAGGGAGACTATGAGGTAGTTGGCCAGCATGAGGACGCTTGCACCGTCATACTTCTGGAGCCTGGGGAATTCACACCCCCTGAAATTGATGAGGATCGTGTCGATCTGTGCCATCAATTCTCGCAGGGATTGCAAATGATTGTCAAAATGACCGACATTGAGTTGACTCCTAAAATCCCTTCTTATGAGGGCGAGCCATGGTGCCTAGATGGACAATTGGTAGGTCACAATTATTCTTCAGGTTGGGTTGAGCTCTGAAGCTGATCTCCCTAGAACGAACACATTTGTGCGACAGCTATATACTGCTATACAGTGAAAATGTGACAGAACACAAAATCGCATTCCGCCAACGTTCGCTTCCAAACGAAATTCGATTGACAGACTATCCCCGATTTCACCATGAGTGGCTTAAGCCTATCTACGGATTTAATAATGCGTGGGACAAAACCTCAGTCACTCAAGAACTGGGCGAAATCTCTAGTAGATCCGCATATGCGCATCATCTCTTCTGCAAACGTTCCCCCACAGAGAGGAACTTGGTGGAAGGAGAGACAAATGGCGATAGAGCGAGCATTGACAAAGCTGCCTGTTGAAATACGTGACATGGTGAGAGAACAGGCGGATGATACCATTAGTTTGGAAGAGGCGAACCGGCAAAGATTGAGGCTTCTGAAAGAACGAAGGATGATGGCCAAACAGAAGGATTCTTTGTTTGAGTATGGATCATTTTGTCTCGCGTGATGAGCACAGTGTCACGAGTCGAATCTAATCAGTAAGAGGAGAGTACAATTCAGAAAAGATAATCAGAGGTGAAGAAGAAAAGATCTAATCTACAATCATGATCATCTATGTGATGATCCATGCATAAAGAAATCCATGTCATGTCTGCATGGAACCCGCTAGCAATGCACAGCATGCTTGTAAATAAATGAAAGAAAGAAAGAATCGTGGAATCATGCTGAAATAAAGATTTGTACAGATATAAAGAATCGAAAGAAAGCTGAAAGAGTCGTTTGCCACTATTTCTACAAAACAGCTGCTGATTGGATTAAGACCTGAATGCCCGATTCATATGCCAGGCATGGACTCCTCCTGGCTCATATTTCTTCTTCTTTCTCTTTTTCCCCTCCGTCCGTCTTTTTAGCTAAAATCCATGACCTCTCTCTCTATGATTCATTGACTCATTGATTCTAGTCCATGATATTCGCCTGAAACATCAAATACAACAAACATCCAAACATCCAAACCTAGCAATGTATGCCGCTGCATCAGATAACATTGAGTCGAAAGAAAGGAGAGCATCGTGCTCCGAGTTGTCGGGTATGATTATTGTGAAACCTAAGTATTGACATCAACACAGTAGTAATAGTCCGGCCAGAGGTTGCTACAGCTGTCTCCCACGGCTGGGTTCCACTCGGGGAACTGCTTGAGGGTGATATCGTTCATGTCCGCCATGTCCTGACAGTACTTGCCTTAGGGCTTAGGGAGTGCCAATAAAACAAGAGGTGGCACGATCTGCAACAAGGATGACCTACCCTTCTGGAATTTTACATATTTGTTGCATTTGCATGGAATACCACTCTGTGTGTTCCCTGGTGCAGCAACACCCCCAGCAGGGCAGGTGCTAGTAGGTGTAGGAGAGGCAGTAGAAATATTCGTCGGACTGGCACTCGCACTTGTACTCGAAAGGGGACCCCATCATGTACATCATATACAGAGGCAGTTGCATGGCTGTCGGCGTCCAGAGTGCGCTGTATCGTTTGAACAACGGTTGATTTTATACATGCATCTTTTCTTCCAACATCCAAGGTCGTTGGATATCAGCAGTGGTATCTAGGTATACTTACCAGGTGATTGGGGTCCATATATATTTACAAAGGTCGGGTATGGTAGGGTGGGTGCGCGGAAACTTATGATGTACCTAGGTATTTAGTACCTTGGTAAGTCCCTGTCAAGACTATTCGGAGCTTATTGTAGGACCCCGAACCTTATCGTTATTATGGCACGACCGAGATTTGAGGACACTTCTTTCGTTATCGATGCTTATAAATTTCGTGATACCTAGCACTCGGACGAGAACCTCAGGTGCCGCTGATGATTCAGCGTTCCCTCGTTAAAGTTGATGTGATCGAGATACCGATTAGAACCGGTCTTTGTCGTCGAAAGTCCGACGCCAGACTAGTAACTATATAACTACTACCTTCTTTACTTGTACAAATATTTCGCTTACAAATTGACTGGTGAATGCTGAAAATTTGGATCTATTTACCTACAAAACCAGGCGAGCTTATCTAACTAAGGACTAAACTCGCCCTATTATAATAGCTCTAGCCGAATGTTAGTAGTATAAAGCGGAAGAACTTGCCCAGGTGGCTAGGGAGCTAGACAGAATGATCAATAAGCGACAACTCTTGGTATTTCTACGCTAGTTGCGTTCTTTGCTGGGGGCTCTTCTTTACCCCTCGGTCTAATCTTCCTGTCTGGCACTAGTTAATATAAATCTTCGTGTAACTGTTCTTCTAAAGAGACTTGATAAACCAAAACTATTTTTCTATCATCGAAAGTTATACTATCTAGCGACTAGATATCTACGTATATTGTACTTCACCTTAGTTAACAATCTATCAGTTGGCTTTTACAACCCGATTTTAGAAACCTAAATTCTACCTCCGGAAGCGGAATAGATGATTCGATGCATCTTACCGACCTGATCAGATTTAACATAGTATCAAAATTGTCTTGCTAGTAAGTTTGCGGACGATTATCACAGTCTATCTGTAGTTTTAATCAAGCTTGAGCAGTGAAATGTTAGACCGATTCGAGCAAACGCATGAACTTGGGAAAAAGAAGAGCTCTACTTCATCGACCTCGCGCGGATATCACTCTAGTAGAATGTACACCGTTGACAGAAAATCAGGACCGCTCAAGTGCGAGCCAGTCCCATCATGGAACGAAAAACCCCATAGTCATGGTTTGGGGAAATGTGATTTGGTAATTCGAGCTCACCACCTGGCCTTAGGTCCGTCCAAGTTCCAATTAAGACTCGCGAGTGAGATCTAGGATCATATCAGACTCGAGGACTTATATTAAGGTTCCCAGCAATGCAAGTAATCGCTCCCAGGAGTAAGAATCATGGTTCCTCGAAATGTCAGGGTTATACATGAAGCATACAGGATGTTTGAAGTAGAGCTCGGCACCAACCGCGGTCTGACCGCTGCGGTGCGGTTAGGTAACCACAAAAACGCGGTTAGGGATTGGGATTTTCTGGAAGATGCCTTCCTTATCTACGTATACGTGTGAGGATCACACGAAGACCTACAGCTCCCGGGAGTGGACTGTATAGCTCCGGGGAACGACGTGAGGATCTCACGTATACGTAGATAAATATTCAACATTAAAAAAGCTATGGTCGACTCTAGATACAAGACGTAGCGCGAGGAAGCAAAAAAAAGGTGGTACCCTGGGATCGCTGGTCACTACTTCTGGGAGCAATCAAGAAAAGAAAACTCAAAAAAAGTCCTCAAGTCTAAATTTACCAAGCATAAAATCGCAACGAATAACGTCACTATCTGGCCCTTTTAATCGAGCGTTCAGATCGTTCTAGGTGTTACACACTGCCTAACTGGTCACAGTTATGTTAGAAGCCTCTTCCGGTTATACTCGCCTATGCTGGTCCTCCAACATCAATGATCTGCCTCTCAACCGAGCTGTTGCTGCGCATAGTCTTATCCAGCCTAAGTCCTTTTAGGGGTATTAGGGAACGATGCCAGGTAGAGCGCCGAGTAGATCTATACCGCAGTATTAGTCTACTTATAGGTATTATCAAGTAATAATATAGTAAGTAAGTTAATAAGTTCGTAGGGTAAATATAAGTAATAATAGATAATTAAAGATAAAGAACTAAACTAAGTATATAAGAGAGTATCCTTATATATCCTTTATTCCTACTCCTTAGGATATACCCCCTAAGGGTATATCTACCAGAGTTATAGTGACTTCCTACTCCTATTTAGTATTAGTAGGGAGTTATAGTTATATAATCTAGGTAGTTAAGTATACTCTAAGTTCTTATAAAGTAGAATTACTATTTACTAATTATAGGCTAAAAGTAGCTACCTTTTAGCCGGCCCCTTTCTACTATTATACTATATATAAGTAATAACTAATCTTCTTAATTAGCTTTTAGTAGCCTATTAGTATACCTTATAAGTTACTATTAGTTAGTAATAGGTAGGTCTATAATATTACCTCCCTCTCTTTTAGGGTTTTATTCTTAAAGCCTATAAAGTTATTATCTCCCTTAAATAAGTAAGGTTTATTTTTCTCTTTTCTTTCTTTCCCTTACCTTAATTATATATCTTTTATATTATACTAATTAATAATAAAGTCTATAAAAAGAATAGGCTTATTTAGTATAATAAAATTCTTACTTATAGTATTCTTATTAAAAATCCTTATAAGTATTATACTCTTTATTATTATAATTATATAATAGAGCTATTAAATAAAAATTATATAGAGTATATTTATTATAGTTATAAATATATATACTATTTCTATTCTAATAAGGAGTAGAATAACTTAGAATTAGCTTACTTTATAATAGCTTTTTAAATTAACTCTACTAAAAACGCTATTAAAGAGCTATTTATTAAATTATATTAGTTATATAAATATTAAAAATTCTTTAATAATTATAATTAGAGTATAATTACCTATATTATAAAAGTCTTAAAGACCTTAAATACTAAAGATCCCCTTATTTCTAAAGATCTTATTAAGCTAGATTATCTTACTAATAAGTATAATACTTAGATTCTTACTATTATATTAAAAGATCCTATTCTAACTTAGATATTTAGTTCTTTATCTCCTTCTATTTTAGAGGGTATAAACCTATCTTT